CCTAACCCTAACCCTAACCCTAAACCCTAACCCTAACCCTAACCCTAACCCTAACCCTAACCCTAACCCTAACCCTAACCCTAACCCTAACCCTAGGTGTCCTAGGCGGTGCTAGTGGCCGTCTTGGCCATCGCCGGAAGACGTTCACTGTTGTGGTTTTCCGGCATAGTGCGATGTGCAAGGGGGTCTTTAGGCGCCCGCATAAGCACTTTAGAGTCGCGTTGTCATGGTGGAACTTCCGGTGGTACCATGCAAAGTCTCCATGGCTTGTTCGGATTGCCAGCAGTCTTGCTAGGGTTGGGCGTGTTAGCTCTAGCTCTTGGGGAGGTCGGGTGGGCTGGTATGGTAGCTTCCACTGGGTGTACCAGTTAGAGAGCTTGCTCTTGGCGCTATTCCACCAAGCTGCTCTCGCTATGGCTAGTTGAGCCTTCCTGATCGTGCGTATACCCGATACTGTTGGTTGTGCTGCTAGTCCAAATGGAGTAGAAGGTTCTTTCGCCTCCGCGTCTGCGAGGTTGTCTGCTGCTTCGTTGCCTTCAATGTCAGTGTGTCCTGGTGCCCATCGCACCTTGACATTAGGCATTGTGTCCATTATCTCCTGACATTGAAGAAACGCCCATTGTGAGGAGGTTGAGGCTGTTCCGCGTAGACACCAGATTACTGAAGTGCTATCTATACACATATAAACCGCATCTGTTGGTCTTGCTATCTGAGCCGCGTGCTGAAGTGCTCTACATGCCCCAATCGCTTCGGCATCGAAAACATGTGAAAGCGAGTGGAGAGACCCGCGTCCTGTGGCTATCTTTTCCTGGGCCCGGTATATGGCATACCCATAGGTGACTCTCTTTTTCCCTTCACAGCGCTGTTCTGATCCGTCAGAGAAGATTGTGAGCGTGCTGCTATCTAGAGAGGCCCACCATTCTTTGAATTCTTTCGCAGCTGTTTTCTTCTCTATTCCTAGCGTCGGATCTGTGCGACACCCTTGCGAGAAGTGCGGCGCTATTAGAGCTGGCCGGGGGACGGCTGGCAGAAGTAGGCCTAACCTCTGGATCTTAGTTCTTGGCTGTTGCCTCTCCCCTACCCTGGTGCCAGACTGATTGTGTGGTACGATCGCTCGGTGGGTGAGAGGATGCTGATGGTCTATTGTCTGAAGTCGCAGCGCGAGACGCCACTTAGCCTCTTCAAGTGCGACTTCTGCTGACGGTACCCCAGCTTCTCTAAAGAGAATTGGAAGGGGTGTTGTTTTATATACTGGCAGTACTGCTCTTACAGCCTGTATAAGTATGGTTTGGATAGCTGTAATATGTTGTCCAACTCTTGTGCTGACAGAGATAGGGTTGTCTTTCCTCCTTGATCTCGGGTTTCTTGTTCGTCCTTCATACCAGGCCTCTGTTCCGTACAGTAGTGAAGGTAACACGCATGTTGTTACTAGTTTTCGCATAGCGTCTGGGGGCGGGCCATGAGCTGTATTCGCAAGGCCTCTTAGGTGACTAGCAAGCTTCTTGGTGGCTGCTGCTCTATAGGCGACATGGTGCTTAAAGCTAAGCTGTCGGTCAAACCACACTCCGAGCCATCGTAGTGCGGTCTGCGATCTGTCTGCAGCTGGCGCAATTGGTTCTAGCGTTGCTGCGTCGGGTAAAGGTATGCTTGGAGAGTAGCTGTCTTGCTGGCGAGTAATATGGATCGCCTCTAGCTTCTCTGGGGCAAAGGTGACCTTGTTTTGTGCACCCCACTGGTTGATTGCCTGTATATCTTCTGCTAGTAACTGGACATTTTCGTCTAGGGTTTTTGAAGCTCTGTAGATATTGATGTCATCCGCATATCCAAAACGTAGCGTTCTGTCCTGATTCAGAAGCTCGGCTAGGTAAAGCGTGTAGAGAATTGGCGATAGCGGAGATCCTTGTGGTGTGCCGCAGGTCACTATGTGGCGTGGTGTAATCTCGTTGTCTAGCCGCACCTGTACATAGCGTTCTGTTAGGAAAGAATCAATAAACCGGACACAGGCTGGTGGCCAGCCCTGCTGAGCCATCCGGTGTAGCAACCTGTTCTTGAGAAGCGCGTCGAATGCTCCCTGCACATCCATCGTGACCATAGTGACGCGTTTGCCTACTGCCAGAGCCTGTTCTACGTCGTGCGTGAATGCCGCTACAATGTCCATAGCTGATCGCTTTGGAACCGCTCCTACGTGCTGTGGGCTGATGATATCGTGCGTCATTGCTGTTGTAGCGATTCTTCTTGCCACTAGGCGTTCCAGCCCCTTGCCAATGCATGAGAGTAGGGCTATCGGCCGCATTGACCGTGCTGACGTCCGGTCTTTCTTTCCGGCTTTTGGTATCATTGTTACTTCTGCTACCCGCCAGCAGCCTGGGTAGAACTCTAGCTCTAGGCATCTTTGATATATTGCGCGAATGAGGTTCCTGATATCTGCCCAGCACGCCTTTAGTAGCCGTACCGTTATTCCGTCCGCACCTGGGGATGTGCTAGCTACGCCAATAGCATAGCGCTCTGCTTCTTCAGTCGATACCTTAGTGTCCCACGGTAGGGGGTTTTGAGTGTAGTTTTCTGCTCCTGGTGGTGCTGGCAGATCATCTGCGTTGTTGAATCGGTCCAGTAGTTCTCTGCGCAGGGCCTCGGCCTTCTCTGCAGTATCTGTGATGGTTTCACCATTTACCACTAGTGGGGAGTCTTGTTGGTTTGGTAATAGCTTGTGCCATCTGGCTAGGCTGTAGAGGTCTGAGTCTGTCTTAATTCCGTCTATCCGGCCTCGCCAGTACGCCTTCTTTGTTCTGCGCACTGTCTTTAGGAACTCTCTGGTTGCCTCTGTTGGTGGAGTCCCTATTCCCGTATGGTCTCGCAGGTGCCGCCGGTATGCTGTCTGGCATTCTGTCGTCCACCATGGCGCCACTTTGATTTGTTCCCTCTCTCTGACCCCTGCTGTCTGGATTGCCTCTTCTATCGCTTGTGTAAGGTCCTGGATTATTGTTTGTAGTTGGCTTTGGTTGCTGGCTCTTGCTGGATCCCTAATGCCTACGATATTCAGGCCTACTAGCTTTGCGAACCTTTCTAGGTGTCTCTCTAGTACTTTGTGCTTCTTTGGATCTTCTGCTGCTAGTCCGCGGGCTGGTAATGTCGTGACCTGTGTTGCGTGGTCTGAGCCAGAGTGCATGTCCGGCCGTACTACTGTGTCGGCAAAGGGGATGTTTGAGAATGTTAGGTCTATTACGTGGCCAGCTCGATGAGTTGGCACTCCTGGCTGCCCGATGAAGTCCATGGCGTGAGTCTGGGCCCAGCGTGCGAGCTCTGACCCGCCTCCTGTGGTCACCGAGCCAGGTTCGAAACTCTCGTGTCTTGCATTCATATCCCCTCCAATAACGCATCTGCTTGGTGGTGTCAGTTCCTGTATGTAGGTGACTGCTGGTTCTGGTGCCTCTCGGTTCTGATACACGTTAAGTATAGCGTATCCGTTCACTTCTGTCCAGAGTATGTCTCGCGTGACTCTAGGTAGCACTTTAGCCCTTAAATTAACGCCCTTGCGGGTGTAGGTAAGCACCCGTGGTCTTTCGTTCTCACGTTCCTCCCTGCTATCCCATGCTATCACAGGCGCGTGCATGTGGTACCCTGGATGATTTTTAGTTACGGTTCCTGGTAGTGTCCATGGCTCCTGGATGCATATCACGTCGATGTTTTCATCTGAGGCGCGGCACAATATAGTGTCGTGGCATTCTGAGGCTTTGCCCACGTTCGCCCATGCTATTCGTAGCTGCTTCCAGCCTGCGCAGTGCTGCCCGTTGTGTCGTATCGGTTGACGTCCTACCATTGCAGTGCGTCTTCACTCATTTCTGTATCTTCTATAGTAGAGGATAGGCCAGCCTGTATCATAGCTTCTGTCGGTGTGGACACTGTCTGCTCTGTCCTTAGGCTTCTTGTTGAGAGTGCTGCTAGACTTAGACTCTCTCTTGGGGCTGCAGCACGGCGTGGGCGACGGCTCTGAGGGTTCTGGGATGCTGTAGTTGTGACTATAATTGTATCCGTGTCTATAGGCGTGATTACGGCCGTAGCGGTATCTGTTCCTGTTAGTGTCTCTTCTTGTTGGGCTCTTTTTGCTTGTCTTGATTGCGTAGCTCGCAGTGGCGGCTGCTGGAGCGTGAGTGAACTATTTTGGCTTAGCTGTTCTTCTGCGATGACAATAGGCTCGGCAGCCGTGTCTCCTTTGTCCTGGTTCTGGCCGGTTCTTTGGTAGGCACGATGTCCAGCTCTGCGTACACTCTGCAGCTGCTTGCTTGTTAGCTGGATAAGCTTGCCTTGGTAGTAGTATGGTTTCGCTGGACAGTTTTTATCCGTCGCGGCGTGTGGTCCATGGTAGTTAGCACAGCGGGCTCGCTGCGTACAGCCTGTACCTATGGGCCCGTTATGCCCTACCGCCAGCTGGCCGTAATTGTCGCAGCGTGCTGCACGCGTGCACCTAGACGTGTTGTAGTAACTCTAACATCCTGGGTTGTGGGTGGCCACTGGCGGGTTTTTCTTTATCTCTTTTGCCTATTTACTTGTTCTAAAAATCCGAAATGGTCGTACTCGTTCGGCAAAGGATATTATCTAAGTTATCGTGCTAAACCTGTCTAGGCCGTGTCTAGATTGCTTGTAGGTTCGCGGCTTTACTCCTGTCTAGGAATAAACTTCCTCTGCAATATTTTCTTCGCTGATTGGTACTGCTGTATCTCCGCCTATGTGGAGTCCTATAAGAGCCGCCTCTACACGCTGTACTGCGTAGTTGATCCATTTCTCCGAGAGCTAGAATCCAACTGTACCTAGAGTTTCTAGCATGACTTTGACGTTATCTAGCTGCAGCAGTCGGCTCTTAATAGTGTCGTTGGCTAGTGTGAGTGCCTAGCCTATTTTTGTCGTTATGAGTCTTGGGATATCTTGCAGATTAAGGTTATCAATCTTTGCGCATAGTGCTTTTCGCATTACAAAGGGCGAAGGCTCTTTTACTCTCTATGCTGTAGATAGCTGGAAAAGAATTCGGCTATTTAGTACTGGCTTATTTAGCGGCTTATTTAGGGTTACGCTGTTGTGGTGGGTTGCTGCCGTCTTAGTTATAGCGGCGCCCCTTTCCTATATAGGGTGGCTATTAGGGAGTTTTGCGACGTCCGCATATATGCGTGTAGGTTTAGGCCTAGCGTCGCTCGCAGGCTGGGGGGTGGTTGTGGATAGGTGGTGGATAGAGTTGGTTAGGGCATGCACTACACGTTGCTGTAGTTCTTGTGCGACTAGACGCTTAGCTACGCTAGTGTAGTTCTCTAGGCAATGATTAATTGAGTTCGCGATAGCTGTGATGATGCTGTGTCTAATTTTAGCGGCCTCTTGGGCTGCTGTGATCTTCTCTATAACCGCGCCCGTCACTAGTTGTCTCTTGTTAGCACTATCACCGAACGATATAGGTATAGGCGCTGCTTTAGTTTACCTGTGTCTTTTTGTAGTGCGTAGGTTAGCTAGGCTAGGGGTATTTGGGTCCTTAGGGCGCGTGTGCGTAACTTCAGGAGGTCGAAGTGTCCGCCCTAAGGTACCTAGCACCGCCATCTCTCTGTCAGAGGGAGGGCTAGGCCCAATATAAGTTGTAAGTTGCCTTATTAGGCGTTTGAGGAGTGATTTCTAACAAAGTTTTAATTGTTTTAAAGGGTACCATAAAATCACAAAGTTGGTGTTCGGTGTCGCCAGTCGCCAGCGCGGAGAAACTGCCGGGATTCACACTCCTTACGTTAAGTCGACTCTTTAAGTGTGTATTCTTGATCTTTGCCATCTTAGCTTTCTTTCTAGCCTACCAAGCTATGTAGAATTTTATATTGTCGCGAATAAATAAGGGTGTATTAGAGGAGAGTTAATAAATAGCACTAATAGAACGAGCGATAGCATAGCCAACAACACGCTTTTTAGCGTCAGAGGGTGATAAACTGGAAGAGCAAGAGCTATAAAATAGATACGC